AAACGAAACTAAACTAGACACGATAAGCCTTCGCCAAGCACCTGAGCGAAGCTCCTCAATCTGAAATATTCAACAGTAAGGGTGAGCTTCTCAAATATACATTTGGTTATACATTCATAACAATCAATTCACGAAATCATAAGCATCACCCAATAATTAGCATATTTCATAGTTTACAAAACCTTTACAATTCATATATCCATGACATATTGCCTTTCATATTTGCAAATATTCATCAAACATCATCAACCATTTATCAAATCATACGTGCATACAAACAATCAAATATAACATTGGAAAAATCATCCATTCATGTTATATTCGAGTAATGCAACACACCCATGCATGTGGTACCACTTCACCGCCCCATTAAATCGCGGGTCACGGATAACTCACCGTTCCATTATATCGCGGACACGGCTACCACCTCAACGTTCCATTATATCGCGGACACGTATATTGGCCACCATGTTAATTCCACACAATGGGAATTAACAAATGCAACATGATATGTAAGTATGTAACACTCAGCATACTATGAATATCAATCAACATATCATGCACATCAACAATATCAAACATAACATGATAGGAATAGCATGTAACCACTCAGCATACTATTAAACAACAATCATGTCAAGTTATATCATAATTCATGCTTGACAACATAATCTAAAAGCATGACAATAAGATCCACATAGTGTTGGTATCATAACATACAATCGTTATTCGATACACACATCAATCAACACTAGGAATTCAATAAACACATATTCAAAACATGTCAAACACTGCACATCAAAACCGGATCAATCCGTACTTAACAACATGCACGGAAAACATAGTTTAAAAACCAACACAGGAGGTTTAACACGGGTGCCCGTGTAAAACAACACTGCCCGTGTGGAAATGTGTCCAGAAAACACGTTTTTTTGACAAAACAGGGGATCAACACGGGCGCCCGTGTAAATCAACACGGCCCGTGTTGAATTGTGCCCAGAAAACCCATTTTTATGCCAACACAGTGAATCAACACGGGCGCCCGTGTTAATCAACACGCCCGTGTTGAATTATGGCCAGAAAACACTTTTTCATCAGCATTACAGTGAATCAACACGGGTGCCCGCGTAAATCAACGCGCCCGTGTTGATGAGTGCGAACCCAATTTTTCTGTTTTTGCAGCAGCTCATATACCCATTTTTTTGCACGAAAATACCTCTCTACGGCGGTGCAATATGGTACAAGGACATCCAATCCATCATAGGAATCTAAAGTCTCTAATTGGTTCATAAAATCGGGAACTTAAACCTTTTCTAACAAAGTTCAATCCTAAGGTTATCGATCCCTAGAAACATCTAACAATTGGGATTTCCTACGATTACCCGAATCAACCGTACATAAACCCATAAACAAATATAAATCGAGTATAAACCCCCCTTACCTTATCAATTAGCAGCTTTGAGTTCTTGAGCGATGATCTTCGTTCTCCGTTCTTCAGAGCTCTATTTTCCCAAATTCCAACTTCTGTTCTTACGTGAAAACCAAAAATGAGAAAATGGCCTAAGTCCCAAACATAACTTTATTTCTCTGCACCCCCACTCTTTACTAACAACATCTAAGCCCAATAACATAAAAATCCCAATATTCCTTATTTCTTTTATTTTCCTCAAACACTCCAAAATAAATAATTCTTTTTATTTTATTAATTCTAATAAAATAAATTCCCAAATTTAAATAAATCAATTAATTGAAAACGGGGTGTTACAGTTCTCACAAAGATCAAAGCTGAGATCGAAAGGTTGCTGCGTTGCAGATTCATCAGAACCACAAGGTATGTCGAATGGTTAGCAAATATAGTGCCTGTTATTAAGAAAAATGGTTCTTTGAGAATCTGCATAGATTTTAGGGATTTAAATACTGCAACCCCTAAAGATGAGTACTCCATGCCTGTGGCAGAAATGTTAGTAGACTCTGCTGCAGGATTCGAATATTTAAGTATGTTAGATGGATACTCTGGGTATAATCAGATTTTTATTGCTGAAGAAGATGTTGCCAAGACAGCATTTCGTTGCCCAGGAGCCTTAGGCACCTACGAATGGGTGGTGATGCCTTTTGGTTTAAAAAATGCTAGGGAAACTTATCAAAGGGCAATGAATTCGATTTTCCATGATTTCATTGAAACCTTTATGCAGGTGTATATTGATGATATAGTCATCAAATCTATATCTGCAGAAACCCATTTGCATCATTTGAGCCAATCATTCGAACGAATGAGAAAACATGGCTTAAAGATGAATCCCCTTAAATGTGCATTTTTTGTGCAGGCTGGAGATTTCCTTGGCTTTGTGGTTCACAAGAAAGGAATTGAGATCAACCAAAATAAAACCAAAGCCATAATGGAGACGAAAGCACCTACGTCAAAAAGGGAGTTGCAATCTTTGCTAGGGAAGATTAACTTTCTTAGAAGGTTCATTTCGAATCTGAGTGGAAGAACCCAAGCTTTCTCTCTGTTGCTTCGTTTGAAGCAAGGCCAAGCCTTCGAGTGGAACGAAGCCCATCAAGAGGCATTTGACAAGATAAAAAGATATCTCTCTCAGCCTCCCATCTTGTCTCCACCTTCATGGGGAAAGCCCATGAGATTGTACATATCTGCCTCTGAAGTTAGTATAGGTAGTATGTTAGCACAAGAAGATAGCAATGGCATCGAAAGAGCCATATACTATTTAAGTAGAGTATTGAATGATGCAGAGACTAGATATAGCAATATAGAAAAGTTATGTCTCTGTTTGTACTTTTCTTATATGAAACTCAAGTATTATATAAAGCCTGTTGATGTTTATGTTTCATCTCATTTCGATGTTATCAAACACATGCTTTCGAAACCAATAATGCATAGCAGAGTTGGTAAATGGGCTTTAGCCTTAACAGAATATTCTTTGACTTTCATGCCTTTAAAAGCTGTGAAAGGCCAAGTGATTTCTGATTTCATTGTGGACCATTCATTGGTTGAACAGACTGTCATGAGTTATGTTGAAATACAACCATGGAAATTATACTTTGATGGTTCGACCCACAGGAATGGTAGTGGTGTTGGGGTCCTTATAATTTCTCCTGAAGGAATTCCAACAAAATTCAAGTATAAATTAGATGGTCCTCGTTGCTCGAACAACGAAGCTGAGTACGAAGCGCTTATTGTTGTACTTGAAGCTTTGTTGGAATTGGGGGCAACTAGAGTCGAAATTAAAGGAGACTCAGAGTTAGTGGTCAAGCAAATAACAAAGGAGTACAATGCATAAAGGAAAATTTGATGATATACTTCGTCATAGTTAACAGGCTACTTAGAAAATTTGAATACATGGATATTCAACATATACCAAGAGTAGAAAACCAAGAAGCAAATGACTTAGCACAATTGGTTTCAGGTTATAAAGTTTCTGCCAAAACTTTGAGGATTTGGTTGAATTAAGAGGTAGAGTTATGGCTACTAGATTCATACCATCTGATCTAGAGAGTATAAAATTGGGTTATGCTGAGAGACAAGGATTCGAAATATTAGCCATAGACACCTTATCAGAGGCAGATTGGCGAAGTCCACTTGTGAGCTATTTAACAAATCCAACTTCGAATGTTGATAGGAAGATAAAATATAGAGCATTGTCATATGTCCTCATGGGGAACGAATTGTTCAAAAAGACCCAAGAAGGCGTATTACTGAAATGCCTAGGAGAAAGTGAGGCATACTTAGCATTATCAGAAGTCCACAATGGGGCATGTGGGGCACATCAAGCAGGTCATAAAATGAAATGGTTGTTATTTCGATATGGCATGTATTGGCCCAACATGCTCAAAGATTGTATAGACTTTGCTAAAGGTTGTGAAGAATGTCAGAAACATGAAGGTATTCAACATGCCCCTGCAAGTGAGTTGCATTCAATCATTAAACCATGGCCATTTAGAGGATGGGCATTGGATTTAATAGGAGAAATAAATCCTGCTTCGTCTAAAGGACAGAAATACATCTTGGTAGGAATAGATTATTTTACCAAGTGGATCGAAGCAATACCATTGATAGTTGCTGATCAAGAGGCTATTATTGAGTTCATACAGAAACAAATTATCTATAGGTTCAGATTGCCAGAGAGCATAACCACAGACCAAGGTTCTGTGTTTACTGGTAGGAAGATGCAAGAGTTTACTCAAGAGATGGGGTTTAAATTACTGACATCAACACCATATTATGCTCAAGCAAATGGTCAGGTCGAAGCAGCTAATAAAGTGATAATAGGGTTAATCAAGAAACATATTGGTAAAAAGCCAAGGAACTGGCATAAAACTTTGGACCAAATACTGTGGGCCTGTAGAACATCTCCTAAAGAAGCTACTAACACCACACCTTTCCAACTCACATTTGATCATGATGCAGTTCTGCCAGTAGAAATTCATCTACAATCAGTTCGAATTCAAAGACAAAACGAAATTCCAGCTGCATTATATTGGGAAATGATGATGAATGAGTTAGTTGAGTTGGATGAAGTTAGATTGCATGCATTGGAAATCCTGATGAGACAAAAGGAAAGGGTAGCCAGGGCATATAACAAAAGGGTGAAAGAAAAAGCATTCACTATTAATGACTTAGTCTGGAAAGTCATATTATTACCCATGGACAAGAAAAATAAAACGTTAGGTAAATGGTCACCTCATTGGGAAGGACCTTTTCGAATAATAAAGGTATTTTCAAACAATGCATATGAAATCGAAGAGTTGATGGATGATAAACGTATCCTAAAGGTTAATGGGAAATATTTAAAGAAATATAAGCCACGCCTGCAGGAGATTCGAATAATAACAACGTAATCAAAATATCATAAAAAGGCCAAAATGGTAATATGGGATTGCCAAAATGGCGTTGTTCGGATATTACATACAAAAAACCAAATTTCAAAACTAATCAACACTAAGTTTTAAAAATAGACATTATTCTTCAATCTGTTAAAGGTACTTCAAAAAGACTCAAGCCTTTGTTGAGTAAAACGTCTTGCTCCCTCTAAGGTAGCCACTTCTCCCTTGAGTTGTTCTGCGGTTTCCATTTCTGCAAGTCCTTTGTTGAGGAGCTCTTCGAATTGGTTGCCAGCAGTATTGGTTTCGTAGGCTAATTGGTGTTCTTGAGCCTCCTTAACCTTCTGTTGAAGTTCCTGAATTTGCCTTTCCCAGAGAAGGATAGACTCAGCTCGAGCTTCATAATCAGTTTTTGCTTGCTTTAGATGCATGGCTTGATCCTCAGCTTCTTGAGAGAGTTTCGAAGCATGCTCATAAGCAGCATCCATTGCAGTTCGTTTTTCTTGGACCTTTCTGGTAGCAAATTCATCTTGGAGAAGGCACCCAGTCACATTGTCTAGCAGAGATTGAAGATCGAACAAGATAATGCTGACTGGCAAAGAGCAGGTAGCAAGGTTGACTTTTGTAAGTAGCTCCTTCATAGTGTAGCAAGTTGTGCTATCCTGTTTGAGCGCTTCGAACAAATCCACATCAAGGATTGTTCTCCTAATCCTGTTAAGAAGTACAATTCTATCATCTGTGGGCAACGAATTGCTAGTCGAACTTGTACCAGCCCTAGCAGGTGGAATATCCCTTTGAGCTAGCTTCTCCTTCATGTACCCAATTGGGTCATTTCGTCTTAGGAGAGAAAGCTCCTCTTCAGTCATTCGGGATAGAGACGGTTGAGGAAGTTCCACGCGCAAGGGAGTCACATCCATTTCGACTTCCATAGGTTTATTGGTCGCGTTACCGTCACCTTCACTCGTTTCTCGCTCATTGCCTTCTTCATTATCGTCCAGATCCACCACTTCGATATCATCATTTTCACAGCTATTTGCATCTGACTCTGTTCCAGCAGTCGAACCATCGTGGGCATCTTCGTCCTCATACCCTTCCTCTATAGATTCTTTATTTCCTTGATCAGAATCAGCTTTCTCTCCTTCAGCGTGAACATCCTTTGGATTCTCTTGAAGGGTTTCAAGAGGGGACTTTTGAAGAGAAGTCTTTTGTAAAGTCTCTGCAGATTCATGAAGCGTTGCTTCATTTGTTTCCTTTAGAGGGGGAGAAGTGCTCTGGTCATCTTGCTGCTCTGAAGCCCCAGTCAGGACCGCCATGTTGGAGGACCCTTTGTTCTGCACTAGGTTGCTGGAATCCCCATGAGGAGAAGAATTGATGGGAGCAGCAGTTTTTGATGGAGAAGTCGAAGTGGTAAGAGCTGGGTTCAAAATGTCCTACAGAGGCAAAGAATATTAAGAGCATGTACCAAGGTAATGAATAATCATTTTGTTAAGAATTAGAGTTCGATTTACCTGTGGACTCTCAGAAGAGAGGTTGCTATCTATACGTTCCAACATTATGTTGGAGGTCGAAGGTGGATTTTTGGATTTAGTTGAGGGAGCAGCATCTCTGGAATCGAGTCCAGAGACACTAGTTGGTACAACACTTTTGGAAATTTCCTTCTTCTGCTTCTTCTTCGAAGCAGTTGGTGAATTCCCTCCAGCATTGGGATCCTTCCCAGTAGTGTTTGTTTTTCTTTTCTTTGGAGTGGTTGGCGGGAGTTTGTTAGTCTGAAAAGATTTAAACAATAAGTTAGATACAAATCATGAAACATTAGTGTATTCGAAACATCAAGGCTAATTGATTACCTGTGGAGTTGGAGCACTGGTTATTACTGGTGTTGTTGTTGTTGTTGTTGCAGCAGTTGTTGTTGGTTTGGATAGAGTCACATTATCAATGTTTTCGACAGATGTTTGGGAGGCGCTTCCCTCTTTTGACTTTGAAGCAGCAGTCTTTATCCTGATGGCTGAAAATCGAAACAATTAAGGCAAAAGTTAAAAATGTAGAAATTGAGAAACATTTGGGATTTTCCCAAGCATTCGCACATGTGCCTTGATCAGATTTAATCGACATGGCAGAAAGGTCATAGCGAAGATGTCCTGGGAAATCGTGGAGCCAATGTCGAGCCCATGTCAGTCTCAGATGGCTTTGGTTTCTTTTGAAGATATTTGAACATTTCTTTGCAAGTGAACCACCAAGGGTATGGAGGAAACCAAGCCAGAGCCAGTTCTGAGGTAGGCAATCTAGGAAATTTAGGTGGATGCATTTCGAATGCCAACCTATACCTATCGTCAGGTGACAACCCTGAAGGAAGTTTTAACTTAGAAATTTTTTCTTTAAATTTTTCCTTCAAGGTCTCAGCCGCTTGATGCACATTGGATTCTAAGTGTGTGGGATCATAAGTAGTTTCGAAATAATTTTGAAAAGCCCTAATCTCTTTGGCATGAGTGAACATACCTTTCTTGGATTGTACCTGCACATCGAACGCATCAGTTAGTTTCTGTTGAATAGTGAGGGTATCGAACATATAAGACTGATAGAACTTTGTCCACCATTCCAGAAAACCCTTTGCTGTGAGGTGTGTAGGTTCGAAAGATATTAGTTCAAAGTGGGCGAAGCCTTGGTATTGTTCCTGTTGTAGTTTGGCTTCTCTTGCCTTGAAGGTTCGCCCAGAGGTGATAGCACTTTCTGTTTGGAATAGGGGTTCAGGGATTAGTTGGCACAAGCCAAATTGTCTCGAAACGAAGTTGGGTTGATAAGCAAAAAGGAAGATTTGATTCTTAGCAGGAGTAATTCGTGAGGAGATTAATCTGGGAAGCAAAAAGGCTTACCATACATCTTGAATTTCTTTGCTTTTGATTGCTTCTTAGAGAGCCATGGTGAACCACGATGGCCCATGAGTCCTTGAGGCAAAGGGCGACATGGTCTCTTCGAATTTGTGTCTCTTGGAGAAGATCATTATGTATTTTGAGAAGAGAACTTTGAAGTCATCCTTATCATCGTTTGGGGTAAGTATTTGCAGCCTAGTACCTTCGATGATTATGTCCGCTATTTCCGGATCTTGTTCAGCAAGAGTGTTAGCAGTTGATAGTGAAGGTTCAAACATGGCATTGAGCCATAACTGGAGTAACCAGAAGGGGCCAGCTAGCAGGATGTTTTTGGAGGTGTGGGATTTCAAACTCGACACAGCTGATCTCAGACTTTCGTAAAGATCAACAAGTAGCAGTTCGCTTAAACACACCCTCTGATTCTCATGTAAATCTCTAGCTAGAGGAATAAACCTGCTGGCTACCTGTAGGGACCTGCTGCAAAAGACATACCTTGATAACCATAAGGTAAGGAAAGCAATGTGTTCCACATCCGACACACTGTCTCCTTCAGTGTGATAGTGGCTAATGAACTTTGAAAAGCTGGCTAACTTGACTTCGAAGTCAATAATACTCGAATGCTCTTCATTGTCAGGAATGTAGGTTTCTCCTATTGGTGATAACCCAGTAATGGCTGCTATGTCAAAAAAGGTGGGTGTAATCATTCCACCAGGGAGATGGAAAGTGTTGTAGGTATTGTCCCAGAAATATAAGGACGCAAATAATAATGGGTGGCTATAGGTAAAGCCTGGTTTCGATAGTTTAATCAAGTTGTAAATGCCTAATTCCTCCCATTGCTGGGATTTCTTGGCTTCTACTTTAGTAAACCAGTTGTGGTAGGCTGTGTCAGAGGTGGGGCAGGATCGAAATGGTTTAAAGTTACTCTTTACAAAATCTAGCACAAAAGGGTCCTTTGGGGGAATGATTGGAGTTTCCACGGAGGTCGAATCAGAAGACTCCCCCGTCTTAGGGGTATCCATTTTATTAAACAAAGGTTTAAAATTATAACAAACAGGGAAACTTTTTCTGGTGTCTTTTAAGATTTCAAAGACTGTAAGAGGGTCCATTAAAGCTAACCTCTTGCCAGCGGCGTTAGTGGGAATTAGTACCTGTGATGCGTAGAGCATTTCCTTCTCTTTGGAGATCATTTGGGGAATAAGCACAGACTGACCTTGATAGGTGCCAACCTTGCTTTCCATTATGATTCATGTGTTCTTTCCTTTCTTTTTGGAAGCTTTTTTCAGTTGAGATGATGTTGAAGAAGACATTGTTTGAATATTGTTGGAAGTTTTTTAGGGTTTCGGTGAGAAGAGAGGAAGAAAAGATTCAGAATGTGGGAAGAAAAAATAAAAGACTAAGTTGATGAGTTTTTATAGTGTGGAAGTTTAGACATCCACTGAGTAAGATTGTGATACGTGGTAGTCGTGGGTTGGATTGAGAAGGAGGTGGCGTAAAAGTTAATATTGGTAATATGCGTGATTAAATAATAATCATTGTTTTGTAACTGCACCATGCTGTGAAATGGTTCAAGGCGGTTAAGGAATCTGAAAAGCGTCATGATTGACGTGACTGGAGTCATATGCAATAAATGTTACGATGATTCAAAGGTCGCATCAAAATCTTGCGTATATGTTTAAAATAAGTATTTCTCAAAGGAATCGAAATACATATTTTAAAGGGGCATTTTGTTGGCTGAAGATTTTGATGATATTCTTCAAAGTGAAGCAAGTTGGATGTTTCGATTGGAATAAAGCAAGATGTCATGTTTCGAAATGGTAGAAGTAGTGCTTCGAATGAGCATGTCAAAACTCTGAGCTTCGAGTGACAGTTATGGGGATATATTCAAAGAAGTCTCGAAATGGTAACAAGGTTGTGTCCAAGAAATGAGTTCGAAACAAAGAGTGCCAAAACATTTGAAATTCAAACGCAAGCGGGATGTTCGAAATTTAAAATATATGCGCTGGAGCCTTCGAAGACGCGTGGAAGCTAGAGAGGGGCATTGCTTTGCATGTTCTGAACGTGGCAGAATCTTATAGCAAGACCGTTATGGTTGAAGTAGTATAAATAGAAGTCTTAGCATTAGGATTTCGGGTGTGTCATATCTATTGTACAAAAATTCAGTAAACATTCAAAATACCACATGGCTAGGGAAACGAATGCACGGACAATGTACGTATGATAACACCAAGTGTTTATGATTTAATAAAACTCTTTATCATTTCCAGTCTTTTCCTCTATCTTCATGTCAATATCATTCAAAAGTCTTTACATTAAAGTATTTTCATTCGAAATCTTTTACTGATGTCTTGCATTTAAATGTTTTCTTTTCATGTCAAATCCTTTACATCTCAGAAACTTTTGTATATTTCATGCCTTTATCTTCATGCTTTTATCATTCGAATACCTTTTTCATTTAAAGTCATTTTACTGATTTCTTGCATTTAAACGCTTTCTTCATATTTCGAATCTTTTACATTCCAGAGAATCTTTTACATTACATGCTTTTATACTTCGAAGTTATTTACTTGTATTTGTGCAGTTTTACATGTCTTTACAATTGAACCTTTATTCATGCAATTTAGTTTCGCACGCATTTACTTGATCATGTCATTAGATCTTTAATAGAGTAATCGAAGTAAGTTGAACACCTACACAACATTCTAAATACCAACCATGAATATCAGTTCTATAATGAGAATTATCCAAATGACCAATACATCCTAGGATCAATCTAGTCGATCCTGCAAGTTACCAGAGAGATTAAATAACAATCATTAAGATTATTTGATAGTTTGGAGGACTAGCGGTTGTTTACCAGAAATAACTGTAAACACCTAGATGGTATAGTAAATCGAGGCTCTAATCGGTTCATAAGTTTACGAAATCCTCTCCCTTCTACAACCTTAAAATGCATTTCATCACAAATAACAAATTCAGCGAAGGCTCTCCTACAATCCTCCAAATTATACTCAATATTTGTTATCACTAAATCACTCTCTTCATTAATCTTTGGCATGTACCCGTGAAGTGTCGCTTTCTTACCCACTTTATTGAATATCCATTTATGAGACATGTGCAAGTGCTTGTTCATAGAATTAGTGTCATGTCTAATAGGATCGCAACTATATATTGTACGACAATGGTTACATTTGGCCTTATGTTCACCTCTAGTTTCAGACAATGATAGTTTTGTGAAATAACTCCAAACAATTGATTTCCTTTTTTTCCTACCCTCATCAATCTCATTTTTCTCACCCTCTCTCTTATCTTGAACTACTGTTGTAGCCCTTATTTTACAATCCAAATGCTCACGATTCATGTTCATAGGAGGGCTTGGATTAGAAGTTCCCATGACTATTGATGTAGGCTCTTTACCTTCCATTTTTTTAACACTATACCTAAATAATAAACATGAAAAAATAGTCTAAAGGATTCAGACTTAAACATCCAAATGGGAAAATAAATCATGCTTGCATACACAAAAAGAGATTTTTCTATTTGATTTTTTAAAAAAAATAAAGTTGAAGAATTGTAGGCTACGTTGAATTTTTTCATGAATGGATAAAAAACATACAATTACAAATTATATATCTAATTGGAATCAAATAGATATAAAAGAAGATACACTTACTTGATTTCAAAAGGAAACTATTGATTGAAACCCAAACAAAGATAACAAGAAGCCACAAGATGATGACAAAGTCAAGAGAAAACAAAATAAATTTTAGAGTTGCAGAGAAGAAAAGGAAGATGGAAGAAGATGAAATGTTGGTGGAAATAAATAAGAATAATATGAGTGAGAGAAGTGTAAAAGTTGTAATGAGAAAGAGTGTAAGAGAAGTGTGAAAGTTAGAAGTGGGAAGATGTGAAGAAGTGGAAAGTGGAAAAATTTATTGGAAATTTAGAATAATATACCACTAAATTAAATAGTACCACATGTGCATTAATAATATTATGACGAGTTGGGTAACCCGCCGGTCAACCCGAATCCGTCTCAACCTGATACCAAATTCATTTTTAGACAATCTTTTTTTTCTATTTTTTGTATGAGACGAAAAAAAGACTAACCCGAAACCATTAGATTAAAACGGATCATCGGTTTGGATTAGGTTCTGCTCACTCTTAATTTTCATGGTTTTTATGGTGGCCTCGTATAAGGTTCTGCTCACTCTTAATTTTCATGGTTTTCATGGTGGCCTCGTATAAGCATGAACAACTTCAGACGTGTAAAAACCTTCCTTTTAATGGCTTCTTCTTAGTTTCCCAACTAAACATCCCTATCATACATTTCCTTGATACAGTATTTCTCATTCTGTTTTTTTTTTATATATTTTATAAAGTAACTTAGAAGAGGATTATAAATCATTGAAAACAAGAATATATAAAAAGAAACAAAATATTTGAGTATAAAAAAGAATGATCAATGAAAGTGGGTTTGTTTCGAAGTTTAAAAATATATTTTTTAAAATAATATTCTCATAATTTTTTTTTTCGAAAATATTATTTCTAACTTATGTATTTGGGAAAAATTTAGATTTTTAAAAATTATTATAAAATTTATTTAATTTAAAATTATAAAAATCATGAAAATAATAAAAATAATAGAAAATATGAATGTTAGTGAGAAGTTATAATTAATTAAATTCATACTCATGAAAATGTTATATTTTTATTTTTTAAATTTTAGAATAAATATAAAAGAATCATGTGTAAATAAAATTTCTTAAAATAAAAAATGTTTTAAAATTATTTTTTAAAACTTAAATTAAATATAGAAATATTCCTATAACTATATTATCATGAATATTTTTTTAAACCTTAAAACAAACACACCTCGAGAGATAAGATTGAGATAATCTAAAACATTCAACAAAAATTAAAAAATTTACTGATGGTAATCAATTTCTTTTCACCAACCTATATATTGGAATATAAATTAATCTTTGTTTTTTACCTTACTACTTTAAATTTAATTGCAATTTGAATATTTCTTTTATTTAATTTTTTTTCTTCATTTTTTAATCTACTACAAAATATCATCTATAAAATAGTTTTAAGAAAAATGGGAGCACATACATGAGTAATGACAGAGATAATGGTTACCATAATTTCCCTTGATGAATTAGTTGAGACGTGGTTTTTGATGAAGAAGGATGTAACTTTAGTACTAAAAAAAAAAGAATGTAGTTTCTTTCTAGAATTTGAAGAAGAAATCTCTAGAAAAGTTTAACAAGAGTCTCATTTATCAACACCATCCACTTTTGAAACATTACAAGTGACCAGGGTGTGACACGTACAAGATTGACAAAACAAATATATATCTATGAAGAAGTTGAAGGCATGAATAATCCCACATTATTATGTAGTAAAAAGCTAAGATTGTCTACCATCTTCATTTAATACCAACTTAGTGAATCTTTGTTACATACACAGTAGCTTACATATTTATAGTATATAATATATTTCATGTTAAATGTTATAGTTTCTAAAAGATAAAATTAATATTAAATCATATATCACTATACCTTCATTTAATTTTCTAAATCAATTTATTTACTTCAAAACCATGTGAAGTTTTTTAAGGTGGTCCCATTTTGGTTGTGCAATGTTTCCTACCTATATTTTCAAAAACATTTATTTTCATGAAAAAAGAAAAATGTAAATGCCACATACATACATATCGAGAAATTTATGAAAACCACATGTGTTCATATGACTGGTTCGACTTTTCAACAAACACATGGTGTGTTTAGTCGTGACAATACCATCTATTGTAAGTATTGATCATTGGTTGAGTGGCATCAGGTTGTTGCTATATGATCCATGGGACCCTAATGTTGAATGACTCAGACATCTTTGCGAACCAATCTATATAACCTTTGTCATCATTTCCAAAGGATATAACATTTCCTTATTTCACTATTAAATAATATGACATTTAAGAAAAAAGTCTTTACATCAGATATAAAAATATATAATATAAAAAATATTTGTTAAAAAAGATTTTATATCAGATCTTTACTTTCTATGATAATGAAAAATATTTGATTTAGAAAAAAATATAACATGCTGACAGTTTAGTAAATAAAAAGAAATTTTATATAAAGAAATTTACATCGAGTCTATATTTCCTCCGATGTGAAAAGTCTAGTGATAAAAAAATAAAAACACGGTGTCAGTTTTGTAAATAAGATGAATTATTGTTATATAAAAAAGTTGGACTTTACATCGGATTATAGGCCCAACCGATGTAACACACTAACCGTTACATCGGGCCTATTGCCTAATCGATGTAAAACATCTTCTTATTTAACAAAATCCTAATATTCTGTATCAAGAGTTCATTTCGTCCCGAATCAATTACTTCATCTCTCTCGACCGGACGATCTACTTCATCTCTCGTCTCAGTCTCCGCCTTCTGAACCAGCTTGCCTCCGTCTCCGCCTCCACCTTCAATTATCGTACTTCAGAGCGGCTCCCTCTCGATCGAACGACGCGACTGTGCTTCGTAAGCCCTCCGCCGTCGTCCGCTATCCGTCTTCGTACGACCTCCGTCTCTGCCTCTTCCATCGTCATACTCCTGGAGTTCTTATTTCGCAAAACAGGTTAGATTTACAGAGGTTGTTACTGTTATCTAGTATGAGTTCTTATTCAAAATCTTACTTCATTGTTAGCTATATGGTAATAGGTATAGGTTTGAGGGATTTCATTGTGTTTATGAAAACAAACTTGCAGTATTGTATGGTACTTCACTTCTAAAAGAGTCAAGACTCTTAATTTTTCTGCATTAGTTAATTACATTTTATCTAAAGGAATGGATTTAAATTAGAACAAATTAAAATGTTGTTGTTAACAATCGTGTGAATAAGTTGTAGATCTAATGAATTATGGGGGATTGTAAGTGAAAGATTTGTGAGGGAGTCAGTTTGTTTAATATGTATACATGTATATCGACTATTTTAGAACATGTTTTATCGGTGGTTTGGTGGTTAGTTTTATTTAATCTTGCATGCTAACCACCGACCCGGTTTCAATCCTGCGACATCATATTATGTCACAATTGTTATGTTTAAAAGAATCCCTTCTGAATTCTTGTAGTAGTGCTACTCTCTTGTCGGGCTTCCTATAAATATATATTTCTACCCAAACTAAAAACTTCAAGGATAGTTAAGTAGGACATATCCTAATTCTATATTATATGTGACGAAGTTTCCTAGATTAAGTCCTTATGGAGTGATCGGGGGCTGTTAGGAACCACTAGAAAACAATAATATTTTATAGGAGTCCCAATAATTTAAACAAAGAATGTTGGTCTTATAACAAGTAAAAAATGTTAAAAAATATGAATTATTAAGAAAGTATATTAAAAATAAAAATTTCTAATGATTTAACTATGTATTCATTAATTTCGGAATATAGGTATGGATCGTGGTTGGATGAAAGCTAATCGGTTAAGTGTTGAGTACGAACATGGAGTGAAGAAATTTCTACAATTTGCTGAAAGTAATGCTAAAAAAATCTTCCTCCTCCTAAAAGTAATGCTGAAAAAAGTCTTCATGTGCTTTTTTTTGTGTCCATGTGTTCGTTGTGCAAATCAAGAACCAAAACTTAGTAAGAAAGAAATCATGGATCATCTAATATGTGTAGGGATTTGTCAAAGTTATACAAAATGGATATGGCATGATGAAGTAGTAACAAAGTCAAATGTGTCCCAAAGAGATAATGTTAGTGTCGATATGGATGATCATCTAGAAGATATGCTGCGTGATATTGAACAATATTCGTTTAATAGGGCACATGCGTATGATACTTTATGCAGTGACAAGAATAAACCTTTGTACACGGGATGCACAAATTTTACACGTTTGTGTTGTAACTTGTTTTGAAACGAGAGTCGTTACCCTTAATTTTTATCATAAGGAAAGGAGTATAAAGGTTAACCCTAAAAAAGTCAGAGATTCTAGGTTTTTTTACTCGGTTTTAGACGAAGGAAAGTTGTTAGGCACCCCTCATCTACATTGTTCACAAGGATACTAGGTTTATAATTATTCTTTAGGGAATATGGTTTTAGTTTTTTATTAAGGGAACTCGTCACGATTTTAATCGTATGACTACATATCCTCTTAGGAGGAATCAAAATCTCATTTCGTAGTTCGCAGTTGGTTGGTGTTTTTATAGTTTCGAATTACCCTTGAACCTTGTCTGGGTTGTAAATTGAGTGAGCGTAGACGCAGTTTGTAGTTAATTTTGAAAGTAATTCTCCTTAATTCTGTTTCAAAAATAATCTTGAGTTTTTGATTATGTTAGTCGAAAATTGATTTAAATGTTGGTTAGCTATATTAAGACACAGAGAGGAATTCTGATATAGTCTCCTCATCACGTGGCCAGATATTAGCCACGTGTCACTCGCGGATGATGAACCGATAGCCGATTTGTCGACCATTTTAATTACTCGAAGATGAATATCCTGTTATTTATAGAATGTTTAAATTAATTAACTGATTATAAAAAATACTTGATTTATTCAAGGTTAGTGGATATAAATAGACTTGAATTTAATCGAGAGAAATCTAATAATTATGTACCAACTTAATTATATTTCCTCACAAAGAAATTAAATATTCTTAGCATTTTTGTATTTAATTATTTTTAAATATTAACTTTTTATTATTTCATTATTTTTTACCCATAATATAAGACCACTTAAATGGTAACACGTGCCAGGAAATAATTAAAATATAAAATGAAAACAAAATAATCCAAATAATAAATGCAGTAGAACAAAACCCAATTCACAAGAACCTCACTCTCTTGTTCTTAAGAACTCTAACATAGATCTAAATCTCTCTTTTCAATCAAACATAAATTCAAGAGAAACAAAACATAAAGAGAAAATAAAAATGATACTGTCAGATTTGAAAGGTCGCACTTCGTGGTGGAGACGGACGATGCAGGGACTGGAGCTTTATCACGATGATGGGTGTGTGGTCGATGATGACTGGATAATTGGTGTTGCAGGGCGCCTCGTTGGAAAATATGTACGTGAGGTGAATGGAAGTGGGTATTTTGTATTAGTACCATTAATCTATGTGTGTATTTGTATGTTCATGGTTTTGAAGTTTTGAATTGGTTTGACAATAAAATTCAAAAGTTATTTGTTAGAGGCTAATGAATAATGAAGCTTTGTCTAGTGATGCATGACTATAGTTGCTGTAAAAGAAAGAATTGAAGAAAAGTGGTACAAATCGGGTATAAATTTTCAAGTGACAGTATAGGTGAATTATCAGTGAAAAGTGGGTCGTATAAAAAGTGATGTAGAATCGTAAGAGGATGACGATAGTAGTAACAATATATTACTATATTTGCAATATAAAATTATTGGATAAAAGAATATAAATTGTTATACAAAAACTTGATAACCATATTATTTGTTAGATGAAAAAATTAGTAACTGTACAAATTGTTAGATAAAAAATTAATAACATTGTAATTTGTTGGATAAAATATATATACCATCAGATAATCATCATATGATTTAAACGCTAACAAAACAAAAATTAAAATTGAAAATAAGAGGGATGCCTCATATTAAATCATCGACCAAATTGTTTTTTTTAAAAATAAATTTTAGAAAGAAATTTTTGAAAAAGTGTAAGAATGATAGAGTGAAAATGCAGTAAAAAAATTGTGTGTGAAAAGTTGATCAATTGCAAAATTGTGGATATGTGAGAATTTATGGATGCGTTTTTAGGACAAATAAGAGTCATATTTATAGACTTGAATTAGGTTAGAAAAAACTTAGAGACTAAGTTATCCAAAATGTATGAAAAGCCCAAACCCGATTTCCAAAAAACAAAAGAAAATTAGTAACAAAAAGAAATAGAAAAAAATGTTAAAAATACACCATAAGAGATTCAAACTCACGACCTCATATTTACAAGCTTCATTCTTTACCAATTGTGCTATGTTACTTATTCAAAATAAAGAGCCAATTGAAAATACATGAAGACGAACAAGTATTTGTTATTTAAAAATATAAATAATTTGAAATAAATTATTATATTTTTAACTGGACTTGAGAACGCATATTTATAAAACCCCAAAATATTAATGTAATTAAATCAAATGAATTCTAATGATGATAATGCTTCTAATACAATTAAGTGGTTGTCCTATGAGCCTAAATGTAACATAATAACTTGGAGTGGATATGATATTAATAAGAATTTCTTTTATACAAAGTCAAAGGATGACCGTAGCATCACACAAAATAGTGGGGTTATGATTGTGGCCGAGTCCATGCACTTCTCTAGTGCTAAAGATAAAAACTCAGTTATGGCATATAAACCCTACTTTGGGGTGATTTAAGAGATTTGGAAAGTTAATTATGTCGTGTTTAAAGTTCCTGTATTTAAATGCAAATGGATTGATTTCAACAGTGGTGTGAGAATTGATGAATTTAGAGTTACACTGGTTGATCTTAGCAAGTTAGCTTATGTGAACGAACCTTTCATTATGACATCTCAAGCAAAACAAGTGTTTTATGTCACATATCCTTCTAATAAAAGGTGGTCAGTGGTTTTAAAAGGAAAGGTGCATGATAGTGATGAAAATCAAGATGTGAATCATGATATTTCTGAAACTCCTCCTTTCTCAACAAATGTGCCTACCTTCATTGAAGAAAATGAAGAGGATGATGTGCATGCTATTTGCATAGATCATGATGAAGGGATATGGGAGGACTAGTAAGTTTTTTTTATAAGTTAATTCGACATTACTTTAATTTCTAATTGTTTTTATTTTGTGCTTAATTTGATGTCTAAATGTTTTTATTTTGTGCTTAATTTGATTTCTAATTGTTTTTATTTTGTGTAAACATATACATGGGTGATTCAACTGAAAATCCTTCTTCATATAGTAACCCTAATAAAATAAGAGTTAGAGGTCCCACTTTGATGTCAAAAATTGACAAAGTTCATCAAACGGGTGAAAAGATAAAGGTCGAGTTTGATCCAAGAACATATGAATGTACTGGTGTTGGTAAAAATGCTACAAATTTTAAGAGTTATATAACATCTCTTGCTCGATAGAACTGTAGTATTTTTAAAAATGAGTGGAAAGACATAGATAACGGAATAAAAGAGGCTATTTGGATTGATGTTAAGGTATTTTAAATTCAACACTTTATAATATTTTATAATCATATACTAATTAACAACATATGCCGTATACTATATGTGTAGGCTCATTTCACTATTTCAGAATGTAAAGATCCAAAGAAGGATGTGTTGAAGAAATAATGGATTAAATATATGGAGAGCGATGGAGACGTTTTAAGACACAAAAAAGATCTCCCTCCTGCACATATCAAGTATAGTTATATTAAAGATGAAATATGGAAAGAGTTTCTCAAGACTCGAGATACCCCTGAATTTAAGGTTAGTGGGAGTTATATTTTTTTGTGCATAATATTTTTATTATGTTTAGTGATTAATAACTTTTTGAATTTATAATAGGAAAAAAGTCGAAAGGGTGTGGAAAATGTGGCTAGAAATGTATACCCACGTGTATTATCTTATAGAGGGTATCAATTGCTTGAGGAGAGAATTATGAATGAAAGGAGATCATCAAAAAGTGATTCCACGTTAGATGATACTGGTAGTCCATATCCATCATCATGCCATGAGTTATGAAAGAGAGCACAACAAAAGAAAGGGGGAGAATACACATTAAAGTCTACACAAGTTATTACTGAGAAAATTGTAAGTAAAATTTGGAAAATACTTCAAGTATCATTATATTTGTGATTGATAAAAAATATTGAAATTAGTTGTGGTTATTTCATTATGTAGGATTCCCTAGTTGAAAAAGCTGAAAAAGGTACCTTTATTCCGGAAGGACGTAACGATATCTTAACAACAACTATTGAAACATCTGAGCATGACGGTCGTGTTCGTGGTATTGGAAAACACCATAAACAAAGCACTTGCTTTGAGGTCGTCTTCATGTCAAGGATAACATATAGATGTAAATGAACAATTTGCACAAATTTCATCTGAATTAGAAGCAAGAATTAGAGTTGATTTTGATCAAAAGTTGGTTGAAGAGCGTAAGGCGTTGCAACAATATTTAATGGAGACACTTAGGTATATCGGTTTATCGCAAAGCACAAATAATAATAAATGCATTGAAAAAATGGAAGTTATCGATGGAAGCGGAAAAGGAAGTTGTTCAGTTGCAAAAGGAAGCACAAAAGACGTGGAAGTTGACGATGTTCAGAGATTGTTACTCATGGTTCTGAAAATGGCTGACACACATTTGGAAATGGAATTAAGTCATTGTGTGAGTGTCACTAATTTCTATGTCAGCTAAGTGTATCAGAGAGTTGTTGGTGGGTTTTCATTGGCTTGACGTCTCTACTCTGCAAGTTTGGTTCACATAAGTACATTTTCTTTTTTTATTATTGTCAATATCTATTAATGTGTTATATCTCTCATCACTTTAATTCTAATGTTAATTTTAAAATTATTATGGTATATTCATCGTGTATGTATTGATAATTCCATATTAGAAGTATATGGATTTATGGACCCTTCTAGGTGTATATATGTTGATAATGTGTTGAAATCTGATGCAAATGTTAAAAAATACATACTAGATAAGTTATATGACGAAAACAAAGTGTGTCACTTACTACCATAGTCCATAGGTAGTTTTTATGAAATTGTGTTTTCTCTTTTTTAGTTTTGATAACATAGATATTTTATGTGACTTTTGTGTTTCCACACACACGTACAGATCTCATTGGCAATTAATAGTCATTTGTCCAAGAGACAATATTGTGGTCGTCTTTTGTTCACTTCATTGGGAAATTGATCAAATCACAAAGAAAATTATTACAAAGTAAGTTTGTCTTTTGTGACTTTTGTTATAATATATTATATATTATCATATATACATAAATTGCTACAAAAGTAATTTCATATTTTATGTGGCTTTATATGGATGTTTTTCCTGAATTAGTGCTTTTGGGGTTCATCAAATGGCAAATGGAAATAGAAAAAAGGTTACATGGCTTCATCCCAATGTAAGTGTGATGTAAATTATAATTCTATATTTAATTTTATGATAAGTATTCACTAATTATGTTGGGTATTGTCTCTACCAATATAACTAATTCTTGGATGCAGGTAATAAAAAAAACTTTACTTTGCATTTTGCAACTTAATGTGAATTTTCAAAGAATAATTCTATATTGTTATTTACGTATTGTAGGTATTTGATGACCCAATAGAATTAACACAAGATGATTTGTATGATTTGCGACTCCGTTGGGCGAAATGTTTCTTTGAGATATATAAAAATTAAGCTTTATCTGGTGAGTCATATAGAATTGTCTATACATATCTGATTTGAATTTCTTGATTTTGGTGTTGTATGTTGATGTTAATTGGTGTTATTATTTATTGCCAGCAGATGTGATTTTGGTGTTGTTTACTGAAGCTACAACTCATCTTCTTATGGATTGCATGTTGGTATTTCAAGTGTGGGAAAGGACTTATAAATGGTTGGATATTTTTGTATAATTTCACTGGTTTTGTTGTTGTAGTAGTTCATTGTGTGTAAACTTCCTTATAATTTTGTACACTTGTGTGCATCCTAGATTAGTACTTTTATAAATTAATTATTTATTTTGAAGAATATATATGTGCATCATAGTTATTTGGTGCAATGAAATTACCCTTCACTGGTTAGAAAATTATGAAAATAGCGACCTAAATGTGGTATGTGTGATGTGGTAAAAATATGAAAAATAGTGACATAAATGTGGTCTTGTGATGTTGGAAAATATAAAAAATTAAGTATAAAAAAAATTACAGGGAATCCACCTTGATTCCGTTAAAAAAAGCAAACATATTACATCGGGTCATTGAGGCAACTGATGTTAAAACCTATATATTACATCAGGCCATTGAGGTAACTAATGTTAAAGACCATATATTACATCGGTCCAGCTAGGCAACCGATGTAAAATATTGCATATATTTTTTTTTATAAAAATTGTATTTTTTTCACATCAGATCCTCACCCGATTTAAAATGTACTTTTCGCCCGATGTAAAAAT